GCCCTTGGTGTGCCAGAAGGTGGGATTTGATATGGGGCTTTAAGAAAAATGGCTGGGACTCTGGGAGGCCGAGGTGGGAGGATTTTTTGAGCTCAGGAGTTCGAGACCAGCCTGAGCAAGAGTAAGACCCCGTCTCTACTAAAATACAAAGAAATTGGCTGGACAACTAAAAATATATGGAAAAAATTAGCCGGGCATAGTGGTGCATGCCTGTAGTCCCAGCTACTTGGGAGGCTGAGGCAGGAGGATTGCTTGAGCCCAGGAGTTTGAGGTTGCTGTGAGCTAGGCTGACACCACGGCACTCTAGCCCAGACAACACAGTGAGACTCTGTCTCAAAAAAAAAAAAAAGAAAGAAAGAAAAAAGAAAAATGGCTGGCTGGGGAGATATCAGAGGAAGGCCCAAGGTGTGTTTGAGGTCAGAGTGTGAGCTAGTAGGCTTTGTGGGAGTTTCATATGATGATAGTGTGAGACAAGGCTGCAAACAACTTTGGATTGAGATTACGGAGGGCCTTTGATGACAGGAGAAAGAGTTTGGACTTTAGACAGTTGAGTGGCAATCAAAGGATTTTGAGCAGAGATAACTTTCATTTAACAAATATTTAATGAGTTCCTCCTGCGAGCCAAGTACTGTTCTAAGGGCTGATGACACAGTGATGAACAAAACAAAGCCCCTAGCTTAGTGAATTTACAGTCTAATGGAAGGAGACAGTGGACACATAAATACGTAACATCAATTTGTAGCCAGTGCTCTGAAGAGCTGATTTTGGATACAAAGTAGCATAGGAAAGTGGAAGCTGACTCTGGAGGGTGGGGGTGAGGAATAGCAGGAAGGTGTTTTCCTTGGTGGGCAGGGAAGGCCTCTCCAGTAAGATGAAAGTGGAGCAGAGCCCTGAACCAGGTGAGGGAGGCCACCAAGCAGAGGGAACAGCTGATGCAAAGAATGGAGTGAGGCGTGCACTCAGGAGCAAGGAGCGTCAGGGAGCAGCAGGTGCGGGAGGAGCGGGGAGCAGGTGCAGTGCCAGGAGATGAGGTCAGAAAGGCAGCCAGGGGCTGGGTGATCAGGCCTTTAAGGGGCATGGATTGAATTCTAGAATAGCATGGGAAGCCACTGAAGGATAGAGAGTGATGTGACAGGTTTACATTTTAAAAAGCCCATCCTAGATGCCATGTGCTGGAGGCTAGGAGCAGAAGCAGGGACACCCGTTAGGAGGCTGTCACAGGAAGCAGTGTGTGAAGATGTGGAAGTGCTGGCAGGGAAGATGGGGGCAGGAACCTGGACACCCCCATTTCCCGTCTTCGAAAATACCCTAAATCCTCTTCTCCGTTTCCTCTCCTCATTGCGTTCCTACTGACTGCCACCCACACTTCTCTGTCACCTGTCTTCTTGCCTGTCCCCCACTCCTGACTTTGGATACTAATTCCCTCAGCTCCTGCCCCTTACTGCACCTGCTTCTCTATTCCTAACTTTCGAAGATCACCTTTTCCTGGGTAACTGGGCCGGCAGGCTCTCTGGGTGACCCCACATCCTCTCACTCAGGTGGTTGTGGCAACAAACATCGCCGAGACGTCACTCACCATTGAGGGCATCATTTACGTGCTGGATCCGGGGTTCTGTAAGCAGAAGAGCTACAACCCCCGCACAGGCATGGAATCACTCACTGTCACACCCTGCAGCAAGGTCAGCCTGGGTCTCCATGGAGGTGGCAGGAGGTGGGACTGTCCCACAGGGAAGGTCCAACTCAGAAGCAGGATGGGGGCCTCTTAGGGGACGAGGGATAAGCAGTTCCCATCCTCCCAGATTTCTTGCATAAACACTGCGCTTTCTCTTTTCCCTGACCAAATTGTCAGCCAGCCTGCTCTCCTTTCTTTCCAGGCCTCAGCCAATCAGCGAGCTGGCCGGGCAGGTCGGGTGGCCGCAGGGAAGTGCTTCCGCCTTTATACTGCCTGGGCCTATCAGCATGAACTCGAGGAAACCACGGTGCCTGAGATCCAGAGGACCAGCCTGGGCAATGTTGTGTTGCTGCTCAAGAGTTTAGGTGATTGGCATACCTGAGTCCTCCTGAGAGAGCAGGAAGGTGTGCCTGGTCCTTGTGAAGGGGCTCTATTTTATCCCTACACCTTTCTCTAGGTATCCATGACCTAATGCACTTTGATTTCCTGGATCCTCCTCCGTATGAGACCCTGCTGCTGGCTTTGGAGCAGCTGTATGCTTTGGGAGCCCTCAACCACCTCGGGGAGCTCACCACGGTGAGGTGGGGTACAGCATGGGCTAGGGCAGGTTGACGGGGTCAGGGTGGCTCCAGGGACCCCTGTAGTGGTGGAGGGAAACCCGAGGGAGGACTGGCTTCAACTCTCTGTCTCTTCTCTCCTTAGTCTGGTCGAAAGATGGCAGAGCTGCCCGTGGACCCCATGCTGTCTAAAATGATCTTGGCCTCTGAGAAGTAAGCCCTCCCACCCCACCTGGGCCCCCAGCACACAAACTGGCCACGCGTCCTCTGGCTCGGGGACCATCTTTATCTCTTTCTCTTTTTCTCTCCATATTATTCTTTTTTTTTTTTTTTTTGAGACAGAGTCTTACTCTTTTGCCTGGTCTAGAATGAGTGCCATGGCGTCAGCCTAACTCACAGCAACCTCAAACTCCTGGGCTCAAGCGATCCTTCTGCCTCAGCCTCCCGAGTAGCTGGGACTACAAGCACGCGCCACCATGCCCAGCTAATTTTTTCTATATATTTTTAGTTGGCCGATTAATTTCTTTCTAATTTTAGTAGAGGCGGGAGTCTCGCTCTTGCTCAGGCTGGTCTCGAACTCCTGAGCTCAAACAATCCGCCCGCCTCGGCCTCCCAGAGTGCTAGGATTACAGGCGTGAGCCACCGCGCCCGGCCTCCATATTATTCTTTAACAAAAAATAAGTTATTAGAGAACTCTTATTGCCCCCCTTTAAGGCTCACAAGGTTCAGTAAGACACTCAATCCTGTTCTTCATGGTATTAAACGGGCAAGATTTATAAACAGCAAAATAAATGAAAGTGGAGGATTTTCCATCTGGGAGGGTTGCTGAGTAGGAACCTTACTCATTCCTAAGGTTTCAGACTGGAACATTTAGATGTAGCTGTGGAGGGACCACCTTTCGATGCCATTCCTCTGCCGTGGTTGAGGTCAGAGATCTTTTCCTGATGCACTTAGTACACACCTTCCTATTGCAGAGCCCTCAGAAGTCCCTAGTGCTTCCTCCCTGTCTCTGTAGATACCTTTCCTGTGTAACTGTGTTTCGTCTACAGCCCCCACCCCGTGACCCCCAAGCTGCTGCCACCTGAATCTATCTGCTGGCTAATTTGTAGCCACTGTGTCAACTGGCCTTCCCCACATGAGGGAACATCACACAGTGATCACTGTCCCTCCACCGTGTCTGTCTTATGTGTTTTGCTTTCAGCTTTCATGCTTTTCCCTTCCTGCCCCAGGTACAGCTGTTCAGAGGAGATCCTGACAGTGGCTGCCATGCTCTCTGTCAACAACTCCATCTTCTACCGACCCAAGGACAAGGTTGTCCATGCTGACAATGCTCGTGTCAACTTCTTCCTCCCTGGTGGTGACCACCTGGTTCTGCTAAACGTTTACACACAGGTCACTAGGCTTGGGTGAGTGGGAAGGAGGGAGACATGGGGTACTTTAGTGCTACTTATACTTAACCCCCACTTTCTTTTTAACCCTCTTCACAGTGGGTCGAGAGTGGCTACTCTTCACAGTGGTGCTACGAGAACTTTGTACAGTTCAGATCCATGCGCCGAGCCCGGGATGTGCGGGAACAGCTGGAGGGGCTCTTGGAACGTGTGGAAGTTGGTCTCAGCTCCTGCCAGGGGGACTATATCCGTGTACGCAAGGTCAGCATTTCTTCAGTCTATTGCCCTCCACCCAGTACCTCCCAAGGAGCAAGCTTCTCTGGGGACATGCAGCAGTTCCTCCAGCCTGAGAACATACCCTCGTGCCCTGTGTAAGACGTGTTCTCCCGGGGCTCGCTCTTCCCCAGACCACTGAAGGTGTATTCTCAGTGGGTTCTTCATGCTTTCCTCACCTCTCCAGTTCTCTAGAAGCCTGAACTAAAAAGATAGTGAGCACCGAGGTCCCCAGATGTGTGCCTTTCCCATTGACTTTCTTTTCTGCCTGCTCCTTAGGCCATCACTGCTGGTTACTTTTACCACACAGCACGGCTGACTCGTAGTGGCTACCGAACAGTGAAACAGCAGCAGACAGTGTTCATTCACCCCAACTCCTCCCTCTTTGAGCAGCAGCCACGCTGGCTGCTTTACCACGAACTTGTCTTGACCACCAAAGAGTTCATGAGACAGGTGAGGAGACCATCCCTGCTCAGGCAGGTGATTACATGGGGAGATCGTGTCCTGGCAGGCTCAGAACCCAGTTTCAGGTTGCTGGGACTGGCACAGAGAAAGGAAAATACATTGGTTTAAGGTAGGATAAAATAGAAAGGCATCGTTTCTAACAGCCGTCTCAGCATCTTTCAAGATCTGAGAACTATGTATTTCATTCGGTAAATATCTGAATGCCTACTGTCTCAGTGTTTTAAGTGCTAGGGCTATAATGGTGAACAAAGCAGAGTGTACTTTAGTCTTTCCATTCCAGGCTTTTCTTGGGGATAGGTTACTTGGGATCTTGAATAATATGCAGAGGTGTGTCTGCCTTTAGGCATACATTAACAGAGCCAGGTACCTCTTTGCCAGCCCTGCAGTCAGAGGGGAAAGAAACTTTTTTAACCACACACATAATATGGGTTGGAAAGAAGGGAACCCTACTGATCTTTTCTCTCTCCTTCTAGGTATTGGAGATTGAGAGCAGTTGGCTTCTGGAGGTGGCTCCCCACTATTATAAGGCCAAGGAGTTAGAAGATCCTCATTCTAAGAAAATGCCAAAAAAAATAGGCAAGACACGGGAAGAGCTGGGGTAAGAGATGGGGACATAAATGGAACCTGACACCAGCTCCTTTTCTGTCTATACATTATTTAATATCTATTAAATAAAATTATTTTTGGAATAAAGCTTGCGGGAACTTATGGGATCCAGAGAAAGTGACATATGAAATTCTGTCTCATATAGTCACTTAAACTTTATTATTTACAAGTTAAATTACACAGCATGAGATGGAAAGGAAGGTAGGAGAGAGAAGAGGGGAAGAAGCTGGCTCCTGAGATTCTTGGCCGCCTCCACCTCCTTCTCTTGTGCGTAGCAAAGTCTTCAGTGCTGCCTCCACTCCAAGGCCAAAGATTAGGCCTTAGAACACAGGTCTAAGTTGGGTTCTGGCTCTGACAGCCCCAAGGCCACCAGGGCTCCCACTAGCAGCTTCTTCACAGGCGTTGGAGGTGAGTGTGAAGGCATCAGCTGCAGGGAGAAAGGTTAATGCCAGTTGAGGGGGAGCATACAGATGGTCTACCCTTCACCCCACCTAGCCCTACTTAGGACTCACTTTGTCTAGGCGATGGCGACAAATGAGGCCACTGGAATTCAGGTAGAAGGTAGAATAGGCATCATAGGTCCTGGGGAAGGGAGAGGCTTACTGAGGGAAAAGGTGACTGGTCCCAAAGCTTAATTCAAACTTTCGTTTAAACTGGTAGTTCTAAACTTTGCTACATATTAGATCACCTGGGGAGCTTTTAAAAATTTCAATGCTCAGGTTGTGCCTTATCACAATTAAATCAGAATGTCGGGCACCAGTATTTTTTAAACGTCCTTAGGTGATTCCACTGTGCAGAAAAAGTTTGGGAGCTGCTGGTTTAAATCCTTACATACAATGTTTGAGGCTAAGCCTAACAATTTCTTAGGATTCTACTCCCAGGCAAAAATTTACCAAGTTGTGCGGCTCAACTTACCAGACAGGAATTTTCATTTATTAAGTATTTGCGTACCTACCATGTGCCAGGTCCTATATATGTAGAAACTGAAGATCAGAGATTTCCTAATGTACTCAATGTCCCTATTATTTTTGTAATATTAATGTAAATTATATTAAAACAAGATCCCTGTCCTCAAGCACTTCTCACTTCTTTCTTACCGGTAAAACTCATCCTTGTCACGCCTGTAGAAACGCAGAAAGAGCATGTGGATTGGCAGCCCTACGAGCCGCCAGCGGGCTTGCAGGGTCCAGTTCTCGGGGTGGCGGGTCAGCTGTAGAACCTCCAAACGAAGTTGTGCAAAATAGTTCCAGGCCAGGAAACGGCAGAGGGTCAGCGACAGAATGTACCATGTCCGGCCCCTGCGAAGAAGGGATGGGAAAGAAATCTCATGATGGCAGAATCAGAAAACCAAACTGGCTTCTGTCCAAGGAATGAGGAACAGTTGTGAAAAGCAGCCTGGGACCTTCTCCAGGTCAAGTGTATAGCACTGGGCCCTTTTCTCCCCAAGGCCCTACCCATGCCCCAATTCTCACTTGGTACGCATGTTCAAGATCTCATTGATGAATTCCACATCCAAGGAGTAGAGAGTGTAGTCGTGGGAGTGAAGGAAGAGGTTGGGAAGCTAGGTGGAAGAAGAAGGCATCAACTCAGTGAGGAAAAAAAGATGATCCTATTTCTCAGTTTTCTATTTTTAAGGCCTCCTTACTCCCTTCTGAGTAAAAAGTTATTTTATCCCATGTTTAACCTCCCTTAACGCAAACCCTTGAGTATTATTTCCTCAAGAAAATGTTTATAACAGATTTCTGTGCCTGTCTCAAGATTCTAAAAAAGAATCCAGTTGACTAAGCCCCTACTTCTAAGGATTACCCACATTCCTTTCCACTGTAGACAAAGGCCACTTTTGTAATGACTTACTTCTTGTCTCAGTCTCTCATACATGACAGCCAGGTGTTCCTCCATACTAGGATCTCCTGTTGGGGTGGCAGGGGAAGGGTGGGCAGTTCCAGGGGCTTGGAAAGGTATCAAAGCCCCAGGATAGGGGCAGGGAGGTCCCTCAAAAAGGCTCCTAAGCCCATCCAGGCAGCCACTGTGCAACTCAGGTCCTGGTCCATCCTCCCCCTTTCCTGGAGGAAGAACCACCCATGGTGAGCTGAGGGCCTGGACCTGAGGGAGAGGTAGTGGGGGAACCGGGGGAAGTCGCAGGCTGGGAGGGCACAGGGGTGGGAGAGACCAGAGAAGAGGAGAAGACGGGGAAGTGGTTGTCGTGGAGTGAGGCCAAAGGGGCAGGAATGGTAGAGTCCGTGGAGAAAGCTGGTCCTAAGGAGGGAGAAAAGGGAAAAAGATAAGAATCCAGATGCCTAATGACCCTCCGTCCCTTGGATGCTCATCAACCAGCTCCCAATCCCACCTACTCCTGACAGAAGAGATGGAATTACTAGAGGGAAAAAGGAATGGATTCACCTCCATCTCTACTGAAAACAGACGGCAACAGTTTTATGTGACACAGGTACCAGTACCTGCCCCAAATACTAGCTAACACTTTTACATTTGTTTACAGTTCCAACACTGGGGCAGTCTCACCCTTCTTACAGCAAAAATCATGTAAGAATACATATTTGATTAATGAACTAATGAATAACCGGCTTTACTGTGGGCAAAATGATGTGGCCTATAAATCACAATTAAGTGTGCGGCAAATGTACAGAGAAAAGAATATCCAGTTGAAGCTAGGAATTCGAGGTCCAATTCTGTCCCGTAACCGTAGGCACTCTCATTCCCTATGCCTCAGTTTCCCACAAATGAAGGCTGTGTGAGGCAATGAATGTAAATAAAACGTAGCGACCTGTAAAGTGGCACATAAATGGAAGCTATTATCATTTCGGGCTCCTCTAATGACAGGCACAACCCCAGGAGACTGTTAAAGGTTGGATCTCATTCTCCCTGGTTTACCGACGTTGAAACTGCGAGGAGGGGAGGTCACCCAAGGTCAGGCCTGACCTGATCCCTCCGCTCCCAAGGAACCCCCGAGGGGTCTCACTCTGGGGACGGCCGGCGGGCCGCTCGGGTACCTCGGTCCCCGACGGTGTCCCAGAGGCGCCATCCCTGCTGGGGGCGTGGCCATCTTGCCAGCCCTGGCGCAGGGGCCCGAACCAGGTCCACTCGGGCCGGCCTTCCTGCCAGGACCGCTCTCCCGGTGCAGGATGCGCGGGCTACGGAGCACGGCCCGTGGGTCTGGTCTGCGCCGGGGAACTCCGGGACAGCGCCGCGGCCGAGTTGCGAACCTCTCCGTCCCTGCCCTTCAAATCACCTCCAGGCACAGGTAACCGCGGAGACCAGGGTGCAACGCGGACGCGCCCCGCGGCCCCAACTTTAACCCCGCCTGCCCGCCTTCAGACCTCGGAGAACCGCGCACCAGGCCGCGCAGCGCCGCCTTCTCGCCCCCGCCAACCCCTAGCCAGTCCACGCACCCCGAGGCACAGGTGGGAAGGGGCGGTGGGGTGTCACTGCGCCTGCGCGGAAGCCGGCGCGCGCTCCGCCCCACGCACCGGCTGTGAGGAGGGTCTCTCCCCGCCCCCTCTCCTCCCCTCCCGCTCTTGCTCTGCGCTCACCTGGGGTCGAGCCTGGTAGGCCCGGAGGCAGGGGCCGAGACGCCGGGCCGCCCCCCGGCTGGGCTGGTACATGATCTTCCGGGAGTGGAGAAAACGCCTCCCGAGTCCGGCCTCCGGCCTCCTCACAGGGGTGAGCGTGCCCCGGAGCCGGCTTCGTGAAGGGGAAAGGAGGGGGGGATAAGGGGCTGAGGGGAGGGAAACGGAGATGTTGCGCGCTTGCGCACTGCGGGCTCCAGGATCCTGCTGAGGCGCTCGGTCGGGCGTAAGTGCGCCTGCGCTCACCGAGACTGAGGCTGCCTCAGAGCGCTTGCGCAGTAAATTAGCACCCTAAACACTGCACTCTCACCTGAGGCATTTCCGCTAAAAGCCGAGCGAAGATGGGGCTGAACCGGGTGCACCAAGAGCGAGGGGTGGGTGGAATTGAAATAATGACAGTCGAACTTTTCAATAGCTCTCGTAATAAAAATAAATACTTTTATTGCTCTGACTAAAAGTAAGATACAAATGATTTGGAGCTGATAAGAAAGCCTGTTGAATGAATGAATGAATGAACCCATCCATTGAGGGTTGGACTCTGGCACTTTCCTGTAGTGGGGGAGAAATAATACTGACTTTGAAGGTGTGAGAAGGGGTTGTGGTCACCAAGGCCTGGTGCTGCGACGTTCGTGCAGGTTTCGAATGAACCTGGCGTTGAACATGTCCCCACCCACTGTCCAGGACTGGGCTGGTGGGGCCTGGGCCTGGGCCTGTGGAGGAACTGTGCACGTGGGCTCCTCCCTAGACCCATCCTGTGACATGACCTGCTCCGCACTGGCAGACCTGGTAAGTGGGGAGATGGAGAGTCGGTTACAGGGCACTAAAGTGGGAATTAAGATTGCAGACTCTTCAAAGTCTTAGATGCCAAGTTTTAATGTAGAGGACACATGATGGGTATGAGGTGGAACCATTAGTGCTATATCCAAATTTAAAAGCCCTCAGAGGATGCCAAAGGGGAGTACCAGAGCTGACCCTATGGGGAAAGGGGCTTGCAGAATGTTAGGTAGAAGGATTTATGGGAGGAGCTGGTGTCCAGTTCATAGCGTGAGATTTACGAGGAGGAAGTGGCTGAGACTGATGTTAGGAAAGGAGTCAAGGTGGTGGGAGGCTGTTAAGGGAGGAGTTTAGACCTCACCTATTCTCTGTTTCCGGTTCCCCCTGCTTCAAATCTTGGTTGCCTACGGAAATACCAGGCATGTGCATGGGAAGGCTGGAGGAGATAGTGAATGTGGCCTACTTGATTTGAGGGTAAGGAGGAATGAATACTTACCTGCACTGGGGGATGAGGAATTCAACCCCCCATGGCGGCTGTAGCAGCAGCTTTGGGCCACCAGCCCTGGGGGAGTCCCCCTGTAGAAGAAATGGGAGATGATGGGGAAGAGGCTACAGGATGAAAGATGGGTGGGTATGGAAGAATCAGAGGAGAGGAACAGGACAGGAACAGAGAGAAGGGGACAATTATCATTCTTAAGGGGTTCTAATCTAAGCTGAGCCCCCCAAAAAGAGGGGGAGCTCATTATATGCCCCAAGATTTTCTGGAGCTGTCCTGATGTGTTGCTTTATTCTTTCTGGCTGGGGTAAGGTGTTAAATGTATGGCTAAATGTGATCCAAATCATAAGAACAGACTCACATATAGGCAAAAAGGAATTTGTTGGACCAGGTGCCCTGATATTTGGCTCAGAAAACATGGTTACCTCAAGTATGAGATACCTCAGACCAAAGGGAAATAGGGAATTACAAGGCCAAATTTAGGAGGAAAAGGAAAGTAGCCTCGGGAATAGGGTGACAGACTGTGTTGTACTTTCAGTGGAGGTAAGGGAGAGAGATCCGAGGGTGAAGTGGGGCACACATCAGGAAATCACAGACTGGGAAGAGGAATCCAGAGATGTTGGTCAGTCTTGACATCTCAGAAAGGGCCGGCCTGGGGTGAAGAAGGGTAGCCGTCACTAGGGAGAACTGGAGGTTCCTGGAGGGAATGGGAAGTAGGTAGAGAAGCCTACACGGAGGGATCCAGCAACTACATGAGAGGAGACATAAGACTCCGCAGGAGAAGATCGAGCAATGACGATGGGGATGGGCAGAAACCAGATCCTGGAAGGGGAGCTCCGAGGCTCCTTGGTAAAAGATCTGCAGACCTCAGAAGTGAAGAAAATGAGAGGGATAGAAGTCCTGAGATCCCAGGAAAATACAGGGTGATGAACAAATGAGGCTGACACCTTAAGTTGGTTTTTTTGTGTGTGGTTCTTTTTTTTTTTTTTCATTGAAAATGTCAATTTAGAAAACACAAAAGAATTCACACTTTATTCAGACAACACTGAGTGGAAGAAAAGGGAGGAGTGAGTGGGAGAGGGGGGAGATCCGGCTCCCAAGGATTTGAGGGAACAGTGAGGGTACCTGATCTACCACACGTTCAGAGGGTAGGGAGGGGGAGGATCTACCTATACCCTGGGCACGGAGCAGGGAAGGGGTTCTTGCTACAGAGGAAAGGAGAGAGGAAGGCCAGAGGAAGCATGGTCCCCCATCTCAAGACAGTCTCATAAGACACAAATATATTAGCATCTAGCTTCCAGGGAAGGATGGGTGTGAGAGGGGATTCCAGGATCTAACAGATCCTTGGCTCATTTTCTGAAAAATGGCTAAGAGTGATCCTAGGGTGCTTGCTGGGATCTACTGCCAAAAAACAAACTCCCTCAGAGACTCTGGATCTCAAGGAAGTGGTGGTGTCAGCCAGTCTCCTTTAGAGACCCCAAAGCAACATGGATTTGGGGTTCCCTGACACACAAAACACGTGGAAATTAAGAGTCTAGGCCGGGCGCGGTGGCTCATGCCTGTAATCCTAGCACTCTGGGAGGGCGAGGAGGGAGGATTGCTCAAGGTCAGGAGTTCACGACCAGCCTGAGCAAGAGTGAGACCCCATCTATACTACAAATAGAAACAAATTAGCTGGACAACTAAAAATATATAGAAAAAATTAGGCGGGCATGGTGGCGCGTGCCTGTAGTCCCAGCTACTTGGGAGGCTGAGGCAGGAGGATCGCTTGACCCCAGGAGTTTGAGGTTGCTGTGAGCTAGGCTGACGACATGGTACTCTAGCCCAGGCAACAGAGCGAGACTCTGTCTCAAAAAAAAAAAAAGTCTGTCAACGTTGAGTGGATCCCTTTGGGGAGCAGGTAAATCCCTGTCCTACGTAACTGGACTGCTCTGAAGCAGAGCTCACTCGTTGGCTGGCATTAGCAGGCTCAAACGGCAAGTGTGGCAGGCAGCACGAAGCAGTATTAGAGCCACCAGCAGACACTGTAGGGGAAATACGGGGTTTATTCCATGGATGAGACTGCTTAAAAGGTTTCCCTCGCAGAGGAAGCCCTTGGACCTTCCATGGTATTCTAGAGTGACACCAAGCAAGAGTGCTTCTCTAGAAAATTAGTATGAGCCACCCAACCAAGGGGGCTGGCAACAGATCAGGCTGTCTGTGGGGAGGGTATTCAGAGCCCAAGTTAGGCGAGAAGGGGTGATTTCCGTGGTAAGAAAAGCTACAAAGTGTTAGGCCATTTGGGACCCTGACAACCCAGTTGTCTAAAAGGGGAAGAGGGAATCCTGTGGGCTCTGTTAGTTTCCACTGGGTCCTAGAGGATGCACTAGAAGAAGGGGTCTGAGGTTCTCAGGGAGGGGGGTCTCCTAGGGAGGGGAAAGGGTGCTGTCAGTATCGACTCTCATCAGAGCGAGGAAGGGAGCTGTGGAAGGATGTTATGGATGGGAGGAAGGGAGAGGGAAAATGGGGGAGAGAGAAAAACAGAGAAGTCAGAGGTGAGGAGAAAGCTAGGGAAAGAAAGAAAGGAGATGCCCACTCCCTGCTGCTGAGATGGGCTCTTGGCTCACGAGGCACTGACACGGAGCCAGGGACTGTGTCAGAGACACTGCCCCTAGCAAATGTTAAGCCAAGATTTCCCCAATCTTAGAAGGCTCAGTTCCCCCTACCCAGGGGATCGCTGTGTTCTTCCTGTCCTTCCACTCAAATCTCACATTAAAATTAGAGTCCCTAGGCTCCATATAAAGTCTTGTTCTGCTCCTTCACTGTAATTTTTTTCTAGATCACATCCATAAATATTTTTCTTGAAAGGTTTCAGGACTCCTCAATCCACCTGTCTTATTGTTCCACATCTCTGATGGATTCAAGTTGCCCTTTGCCATTTCTAACATCCTCTCTGACACTCCTGTGGCTCCCTAACCCTCCAACTCCTATTACCTGGTACGGCGACGTTGGGCTGGGCTGCCCCCAGGGTCAGCAGCCAGCAGAAGGCGGGCGGTGGGGTGTGGTGGGCAGAGGCGCAGGGAACGCAGCAGCTCCTGCTCTGGCACGAAGGGGCGGAGGGGACCCCGTTCCGGTGAGTTTCCCAGGCTGCTGGAGCGAGGGGGTGGGTGAGCCGGAGGTGTGGCACGACGAGGGGCTCTATTTAGGGGCCAAGGAGGCTCCACAGCTACTTTCAGAACTGGGGAGAGAGAATGAAGAGCAAGACAGAGAAGAAGAAAATGGAGAGGGAAGGAAGAGATAGAGTCACAACAGCAAAGATTAGGGTAGCAAAAAGAGAAATCAGCCTTTGGAGAGAAGGAATCCTTGCCCTGCATCCCCCCAAGCATTCTCTTCCTTTGAGTTAAGGTCCCCCAGGCCCATTCACCCTACCCCGGCCCCTCTTACATTCTCGGTCACTAGAGGAGTATGGCTTGATGTCTCCCTCTGCTCTCTTGGGTGGCAGCTTCCTTGGTGGAGCTAGTGCGGGAGGGGACGCAGGCAAGGCAAGCATTAGGAGACATACTTTGCACCCCTCCTCCCAGGCGCTACCCCCACAATCCCAAACCTCTGCTGCCTGACGACACCACAGTTCTTGCCATGGTCGAACCAGCGCCATGGCAATGCCAGCACACCAAAAGGGGACTCGGGGGGATTCTGGAGCACTTTCGAGGATAGCCAGAAGGAGCAGGCCAAACACAGAGTTAAGGGAGAGGATCCAAGGGGAGACTCTGGGCCTGGGAAGGCAGGAGAAGGCAGCCAAGGGGCGCGAGGTCTTACTGTCAGTGCATGCTGTCAGGCCCCCTGGGGTTCTGGGGCAGTGCAATGGTCCCAGCCAGGCCAACGAGGACCCTGGGCTCCTCTAGATGAGATGGACAAAGCCCTTGGTTAAGCAGGAATTGCTCTGGAGAGGTCAGGGGAGTTTGTGGTGGGGTAGAACCTCTCCTTCCTCTGCAAAGATGGGAAGAGACTGAAGTTTGATTAGGTTAAAAAAAAAAGGGTGAGGGGAAAATGTGGACATCTGGAAAAGGGCTACCAGAGTAAACGGGAGGCTGGCGTACTGACCCAAGCTCAGCCTCCCTCTCCTCACTTCTCCACTTGCTCTCCCTCTTTCCTTCGCCAGAGTTTCTCCCTCACAGGTGGCACGAGAGACACTGCTCAGCGAATGCACCGAGCTTTACCCACAGCACCCCCCGTGGGCCTGAGTCCCCACCACCCCGGCTGGCTCTCACAGCCTGTCGGTCGGCAGGAGCTGGACGGGAGAAGCCTTGGAAACCAAAGCGAGCTGTGGATGTGAAGGGCCTCTCCGTGCCTGACATGGTGATGCTCGTAACTGGGACAGACTGTTCTTTGGGTGGTGGTGAATGACCCTCTTTCCTAGCCACAGAGGAAGGTGGAAGCCAGCCAGAAAGCCAGCTCAGGAGGGGGCTCTGTGCCAGCGAACACCGCACAGCCACCAGGTGGATGTGCCGCTCCACCTTCGTGAGGTGACTGCAGTGAGGAAGAGGAAGAGTGGGGCTCAGACTGGCAGGGGGTGAGTGTGTGAGTGTGTGAGAGAGAGAGAGGGTGTGGGATGGGGAACCTGAGCAGCATTTCACTGCCTTCTAGGTTTGGTTTCTCCGAATCAAGTTCATCATTTTGTTGGAAGTTTTATACATTCCGAGTGTTATCTTCTAAAACTAATATTTAAACGTTGGGCCATTCATGTCACTATCCTATGACATGGAAATGGAAGGGTTGTCTGTGCTTGCCTGTCCTCACTGGTGGACAGAAAACTCAGGAATGAAAAAGGAACGTGACTCTGGCCTATTTTGATGGAACTGAACTAGCAAGAGGCTCCGCTGGCCTCAGCCGTCAGATGGGCCCCTAACGAGTGTGCTTACTGAGAGTCTTGCCAAGTATAAAATTCACCGAGCTCCCACGAGGGCAAAGGCAAACAAGTACGACTGCTGGAGACTTGTGTTGCCCTAGAATTTTCCAAAATTCACTGGTGGCCCTGCCCTCCTGTGGCCTCTAGCGCAACTAGCCAGCACTCTAGAGTGCAGCTCCACCCCTTCCAGGCGGCTTTACCGGCGGGCGTGGGATCAGCAGCAGCACGGGGGTGTCGAGTTGCCCTCAGAGAGGGAGCAGGGGGCCCTGTGAGGAAGGAAGCGGTGGTGCCCCTCAGTGAGGGGGCCGGTGGGACCAAAAGTCCACCTCTTTCCTTCCCCTCACTTCAACTACACGATCAGCGCAAGGTAAGAAAACTTACGATGTTGATGGGCAAAGAAGCCTTCAAAGATCACAAAGTTGTTCACCTAGAAGATGAAACAAAATACAATCCTGCGTCACTTAATGATGGGGATATGTTCTCAGAAATGTGGTGTTAGGCGATGGTGTCACTGTGGGAACATCCTAGAGTGTACTCACACAAACCTAGATGGTCTAGCCTACTGCGCACCTGGGCTATATGGTTCTAGCCTATTGCTCCTGGGCTACAAGCCTGTACAGCGCGTCACTGCACTGAATGCTGCAGGCAGCTGTAACACAATGACAAGTAATTGTGTATCTAAACATATCTAAACATAGAAAAGGTACAGTAAAAATGTGGTATTATAAATGGATGAACAAAATGTAGTATATCTATAAAATGGAATATTATTCAGCCATAAAAGGGGATGAAGTACTGATATATACCACAACATGGATAAACCCTAAAAACATATGCTAAGTGAAAGAGGCCAGGGACAACAAAAGGCCACATGTATGATTTCATGTATATGAACTATCTAAAATAAGCAAATTCATCCAGGCGCGGTGGCTCGCACCTGTAATCCTAGCACTCTGGGAGGCTGAGGTGGGAGGATCGCTTGAGCTCAGGAGTTTGAGACCAGCCTGAGCAAGAGCGAGACCCCCTCTCTACTAAAAATAGAAAACTTAAGCAGCCATGGTGGCTTGCTCCTGTAGTCCCAGCTACTCAGGAGGCTGAGGCAGGAGGATTGCTTGAGCCCAGAAGTTTGAGGTTGCTGTGAGCTACGATGACAATGATGCCACTGCACTCTACCCAGGGCAACAGAGCAAGACTCTGTCTCAAAAAATTAAAATAAAATAAAATAAGCAAATCCATATAGACAGATCAGTGTTTGCTGAGGCTGGAGGAAGGGGAACACAGATGACTGCTTAATGAGGAAGAGGGGATTTTTTGGTTGATGGAAATGTTCTGGAATTAGATAGTGGAAACACTATGAATATACTAAAAACCAGTATAGTTAAAATGGTTAAAATGGTGAATTTTATCTCAAAAAATAAAAACGAAAAACCCAGATCCTGCTTTTAAGGTCTCCTAGGACTCAGGCTAATGGAGTCATGGTAAACAAAATGTCAGGAAAAGATGAGACATCCAAAATGGCCAAAACAAAACATATTAGCAAAGCTAACAGTTTAAGTATACAAACACTGAGAAAAATTAATTCAACAGGTTCAAATGGGTGGGGCTAGTCAAGGGGAGACATGCTGGAGGCCAGGATACTACTTTAATAACTAGTAACTATTAGAGTTAATTTATTATATTATCACATTCAATTTGGCCTTCATAATATTTACTTATTTACTTATTTATTTATTTATGAGACAGGGTCTTGCTCTGTTGCCCAGACTGGGGTGCAGTGGCATAATCATAGCTCACTGCTGCCTTGAATTCCTGGGCTCAAGTGATCCTCCTGCCTTAGCCCCCCAAGTAGCAAGAACTATAGGTGTGAGCCACTATGCCTGGTTAATTTTTAAATTTTTTGTAGAGACGGGGTGTTGCTATGTCACCCAGGCTGGTCTTGGCCTTGAAAGTGCTGGGATTACAGGCATGAGCCACAGTGCTCCAGACTTGATTCTTGCTGTGGTGTTTCAGCCAGGAATACAGTGTGGGCTATGGGTTCAAATCCAGACTCCATCACTTACTAGCTGTGCAAACTTGGTCAAGTCACTGGTTTTCATAAGCCCAAAACAGGGTTAACAGTAGTACCTACCTCAAAGAGATGTGCAAGGATCCACTGAGATGATGCATATATACCACACAGAGCTCAAGAAACTACACAGAGCTCATGAAATGTCAAAGAGCTCATGAAACCACACAGAGCTCATGAAACGTTATCTGTTATTATTTACACCCTGCACTGCTCTGGTCTTACGTGTTACCTGGGTAATGTGCTTGATGTTAAATACCGTGCGCCTTCTACTGCTCTCTGCTACTTAATGGATAAATGTGCTGTGGGAGGAAGACCCAGCCTATCTCTTGCCTTGACCTTACTGTAACGTCTGCCAACCCACCCTCGTCCTCCCTCAACAAGCTCGTGCCCAGCACTCCAGCCACACCACACTGCTTGCAGTGCCCTCAGAGCTGGTTTACTACCTCTCTGCCTTTGCTTCTACTGGTTCTTCTATATGAAATATACTTTAGCCCACCCTGTTTTGTCCACCTGAGAAACACTCGCCTTTTAAGGTTAAACATAGGTTGAGCCTTTCTTTACCCAACCCCAGCCCAAGGTAGCACTCACCACCTTGGCCTTAGGCTTCCTCTGTGATCGTCTACCAAGTCATATTTCAATAGATTAACCATCCATGCTCCTATCCAAGGCTAACTTGTCAACCAAATCTCAACCTGTCCTGCCCACTCAACAATATTGCTTCAGCAATTCTCCCCACTTTCTCAGACATCAAAATTTTCTCTCTCCTGAATCATTCTTATGTTGTTAGTTCTTCTCTCTGAAAAGGATCAACCCTCTCTTGATCTACTTCTCCCTCTAGCTTTTGCTCTATTTCTTTTTCCCTTAAAGCAGCCTTTAAAACAGTGGCTTATTCTTGCTCTCTCCAGTTCCAAGCTTCTCATTCTCCTGGACCCGCTCCATCCAGGTGTCCACCCACTGTTGCACCGAAAGTGCTGGTCAAGATCACATGTGGCCTAAGGCAGCTAAATCCAATGGTCACTTCCCAGACCTTTTCTTAGCTCCCTGATTAGCAGCATTTGACCCAGTAAACCATTACTTCCTCCTGGAAACACTTTCTTCAGTGGCCTTCCAAGTCACCTTCTAGGTTTTCATTTATGTCACCAGGCACTCCTCAGTCGCATTTACTGGTTCCTCCTCTCCTCTCTCACTTCTCCCTCCACCTCCCGTTGCCCCCAGGACCAGCAGGCAAGAGCTCCCTCATTTTTTAAAGAGGGCCCAAAGGCTCAAGTCCTTGGGCCACTTCTCTGTCTATACTCTTCCTTTGATCTCATCCTGCCTCATTGCTTTAAATACCACATGTGTGCTGAAAACTCTCCACAGCAAACCTCTTCCGCGATCTCCAGGGAAGGGCCCAACTACCTCCTCAACCTGGACACACCACAGACATCTCCAGTTAACATGCTTAAAACGTACTCCTAATATTTCCCCCAAAGCTGATCTACCACAATGTCAGTTAATGCAACTTCGTCCTTCCAGCTGCTCAGGCTTTGGGGTCATTCTAAACTCCCTTTCTCCACATACCATCTACCAGGACATCTTATTTGCTTTATCTTCACAACATTTAAAATCTGGCCACTCCTTACCATCTCCACTGCTACCACTTTGGTCTCAGCTGCCACCATTTTTCATCAGGATTACTGCTTCCTAACTGGTCTACTTGTGTCTACCCTTGCCCCCTACTGCCTGTTCTTAACACAGCAACCAAACTGAGCTTGTTAGAAAAAACAAGATCACAGCCAAAGTGATCTTGTTCTTCATTTAGAGTAAAAGCCAAAGTCTCTGCAGTAGCCTGTAAGGCCCCAAACGTCCTTCCTTCCCCATTACCTCCTCTGATCTCATCTCCCACACTGTGCCCTCACTCATGCTGCTCTAGCCCCATCAGCCAGTTCGCTCTTGTAGGGACAGTCCCACCTCACGGCCTTTGCCTTAGCCATTCTCTGCATCTAGGATGCTGTCCTTCCAGGTATTATTAATACTTGGCTCTTATTCTCACTTACTGTTGGTTATTGCTCAAATGACACCTTCTCAGTGAGGCCTTCCCTGATCATCTCATTTCAACCTGCAATGTCACACACTCCCATCCCCACCTTGGCACTCCCAAGTACTTTTTACTTGATCTCATTTTTTCAGAGCATTTATTATTAACCATAGCACATACTTCATTTATTATGTTTGTCTCCCCAGCTAGAATAGAAGCTCCACAAAGGCAGGGACTTTTGTTTGTTTTATTGAGTAAAGTATTCCTAGTACCCAGAATAGTGCCAAGCGCTCAATACATATTTGTTGAATGAATGGATAGCATGAGTAATATTTTACTACACTTACTTGTAAACAAGATGACTTTGCCCATATTAGACCAAAGCTCCCTAAGGGCAGGGAATGTATATTATTCTGGACCCTTAAGAAATATCGACTGACTAAATGAGTAATGGCCTTGAAAACAAGGAGGTGAAAAATGAGCTAGCTGTGTTTGGGTTGAAAATGAGGTACAGCAGACAACCTATGCTAAAGAATCAAAATAGATGAGAGAGAAATGACTGCAGGATGAAAGATAGTACCATGAGAGAAAGAGCTTAGTTGTATAAAATGAAACCTGTGTGATGAGGAATAAGGAACTTTTTGAAGGTGCCATTTCTTTGCCCCAGATAAGAAATAAATTCAATAGGAATGTACAATGGAGATCCGCCCTTTGGAACCTCTAACCTGTGGGACTGTGGTCTCCAGGTTGTAGTGCTTATTCAGGAATTTCAGCAGCTTCTGTGATGGTCGGTCAATGGCCAGTTGGTGTGGTTCAACTCGCTCCTTCTGCAGGGAACAGGAGACTCAGGGTAGGAGGAAGTATGGGGAGAGCAGGACAACAGGAACCTGGGCTTCTGAAGGGCTCAGAGCAAAGGAGCCTTTGGTCCTATTTTGGGTGGACCAGTGAAGAGACAAGTGATACCTGCAACATATACTGGAAGAGTTCTCGCCCATGGCCATGGCGTTGCACAGACTCATGGATGTAGAAGTCCAGGATGCAAAGTGGTTCAACCTCATTATGAGCCTCACGATCATCCTAAGAGGTAAACAATAAGTATATTTTAGGACCCAGGCATCTTTGCTGCCCCCTAACCTCCAGCACTTTGGTTCTCAGGAATCAAGGCATACGAACTCCCAGCTTCCAGTAACACTCACCAGTACAAAGAGCTTCTTGTATCCAACTTTGAGGAAACCAATAATGGTTCCTTTTCCAGCCCTGTAAGATGGGGAAAATAAAGGACAAGCTAGTGGCAGCTATCTGGAAGAGGCAGAGTCAAAGATGCGAGAAGGGCTGAGGGAAGAAGGAATTAAGTACGGGACGGAAGAGCATTCGGCACTCACGGTCGGGCTGAAGTGTCTTTGAGCACATAAATAACATGGCGGTTACTCTGCATCCTCGATGCACTGGTGATGGGAGCGGAAAGATGCTGAGCCTGCCAGGAACATGGAGACGGACTCTGCAAGTCCCTCCAAAGGACCTAGGCCTCCCTTATTGACCATCCCCACAGAGGTCCCCCACTTTACTTCGTCTAAAGACTCCCCAATACCTTGGCAGAAGCCTTGCCCAGTTCGTCTACAATGGTCATAATTTGCTGCTGCAGATCAACACTATAGAAAGAGAGGAGAGAAAGAGTCAGATACTCACTGAATTAGAGGGTCCTAGGCAGTCACTCCTGGGAACCTGGGCAACAACTCCAACCCAGGTTCAACGCTTAAAGCCGTCTGCCTTTGCCTGGGAGTCTTCCACTCTGATTGCCCACCCCATCCCTCTGGAACCCAAACTCCGGTCACACCTTGCAAGGTGGTATACTCCCTCCTGCCTTAAGGTTATTGTGGGGAAGCAGGAAGGCTGGGTCAACCACATCCTTTGACTGGGACCACATTTTGGGCCAAGGGGTGAAAGCGCAGACCCAAGCACTGATCAACCCCACTAGGTCTAGGGTCAGAGGTCACCAAAAGGGCGAGCCGGGACATCAAAAGGACCGGGTCAGTAGTCAGTGAGAAGGGGGCGTGGTTCCTGGACCAGGTTTGGAGAGGCACCAGGAGAGAAGGGCCATAGGTCGGGTTTGAGATGTCACCGAGCCGACGTTGTGGTTCCGGGTCGGCGGGCTGGGGGCCGCAGGTGCTGGTCCAGCACTGTGATCCGCTCCGGGAGCAGCGCGTCCACATCGAACGGGAACTCCATGGCCCATTGTGCGCGGCCGGACCCACCCCGCACGACGTCACTTCCGCCCCTCCCCTCGCCCTCCGCAGTCTTTATTTCCAGCAGCCCCGCCCACAGACCCTGCCCCCAGCGTTCTGGCAGCCCGTCTGGCCCAGGGACCTCGGTCTTCTCACCAAACCAGGGGTCCCTTCAGCAACGCCACCCCTCCCGCCCCCCACACCATGGCAGTGGGCGCCATGGCAACGCACTTTTCCTGGGCCCACTCTCCAACATTTCAGCCACTCAGCGAAGAGCTAGCTGGCCAGGGAGTGAACATTGTGTGGGGCGCTGGAGCCCAGAAAGCCCATCGTGACAGAATGGCACAACTTCCCATCCCGGTTTCTGGTCCCAGGGGTCACTGGCAGGGCTGCCTTAGGCGTAACCACTCCTCTTGCTACTGCAGCACCCATTTCTTTACTCATATGGAAAGAAAAAACACCACTCAACTGGCTACTACCCTCGCCCCCACCAATGGCATTTATCTGAAACTCGTCCCCAAAAAAGTCAGAGACAGGAGATACAGCTTTATTGTGGAAAAGCTGAGTTGGCAGAAGTCTGAAAGCAACACAACATTTAGCCCTATTTACAATACACAGGGGTTGGGGTTTCCCATACACATCTGTGCTTCCTTCCCTCAGCCTCCGATTCATCCCCTGCAACAACATTCATTTCCTTCCTGCATCTGCCAAAGACAAAACTCCTCAGGGTAAGGTCCCATCATGCAACCCTAGGCACTGCTTCCTAATCAGGCTCCCTTCCCAGGCTATGGCTCCTATGGAGCACTCCGGCCACCCGTCTGCTCAGTGGAGGCTTCAGCTGCTGTTGTGGGAGGAACCTCAGGCATTGACTCAGGTGGGGGGCCACTCTCTTCTAGGAGATGACCCTGATAGAGCCGGCGAAGGCGGGACAGTTCTCTCTCCGGTGGCTGTTTCCAGCTGTACCATGGGTACCAGGGGTTGCCAGAAACCAGGGTGGGGGCTGGCGGAGTAGCACTCACAGCTCCATGAGAGGTGCTGAAGTCAAGGTCCCGGGGTTCGACCTGGGGAATGTGGTAACTAAGGAGACCTAGGGGATTAAAACAAGAGAGAAAGTCAAGAGGGGAGTGAGAAGCAGAGACAGTTAAGAAAAAGGAAGGAAGTATAAAAGGGAGGGAGCAGTCAGAGCCACTGGGCACATTTATGCATGCTGTATATTATATTGCACAAGGTAACTGGCCAGGGGGCACGTGTGGGCTGACACACTGCAAAGCTGTGCAGTCCTGCACCAGGACTATAAAGCTGCATCTGCCCTAGCAGAGGGGTACCTTTTAAACTCCTGTGATGGTGCCATGGGCCAGAAATTTATACAAAGATCGTCCTCTGATCTCGCTATGGCACTGGGGTCAACAGTTGTAAAATACGAGGGAAGGGTAAGGAAAGGAAGATAAAAAAACAAGGGGACAGGACAATGACAAGGTAGGAGATTCAGGAGAAGGGACAATGGAATGTGGAAAGAAATTCTTGGGAAATGTTGAGTGCTACTTTCTCAGGTAGGTAGGTGCATTTATATCTACCCTCCAGTCCTAAGTCACCTTCCTCATGCCTAACAAAACTTCCTTGTGCCACTTTCTCACACTCACCGTGATCCCTGGCTTTCTGGATGGCCTGGGTCAACTTCTTGTGCTGCTTCATACAGACCCCTGTGGGGAGAAAAATGGTAACTTGGTCCTCATTCTTATAAGGCACAGTAAATAAAAGAACACAATTGCATCTGTACGGTGACAGAGGGCTGGATCTGGAAGTCTTGGCTTTAACTAATGACCCCATTGCCTTGACCCCTCCATGGCCCACAGTTTCCCCATGTGTCCAATGATCCCCCTTCTCTCTGAGAGCTAAGATGAACATTTAAGAGGATCTAGCCACCATAGAGAAGCCACTTAATGGCAAAGGCTCCTAGACAGGGAGCAGAACACAAATCAAAGGGCGAGTGTGGTTAATTACAGGGCTCAGTTGGAGAAAGATCCCATAAAGGAAGAGATTTCAGATTTAGGGAAGGCTATCAGAGTAACAATAATACATATCTAAATATAGTCCCTTCAGCTCTGACAGCTTGAACATAAAAAATTCTGACAAACACCGATCGTACTGCCACCCCCAACAACAGTGGATTTGGATTCTTCGCAAATTTATCGTGCTTTGAGAGCAGGAGTTGGCAAAATTTTTCTGATTAGGGCCATACAGTAGATATTACAGGCTCTGCAGGTCCCGTGGTCTCTGTCTCAGCCACTCTACTCTGCACTGTAAACTGGAAGCAGTTGTAGACAATATGAAAACAAATGGACATGGCAGGGCCAGATTTGGCCTGTAGCTAGTTAGGGAATAAATATAATCCTGAATTGTTAGGTTTACAATTCCAAGTTTGGAAAATCTAATTCAATTGACAGTGATATAGAAGAATTTATCTGACAATTTGTGAAGAAAAGCCTTTTGTAAAAGTGAAGCGACCCTATAGAAAGAAAATCGTCACCGCCATTTATCTTTTTAAGAAATACAGGCCGGGCATGGTGGCTCACGCCTGTAATCCTGGCTCTCTGGGAGGCTGAGGCGGGCGGATTGTTTGAGCTCAGGAGTTCGAAACCAGCCTGAGCAAGAGCGAGACCCCATCTCTACTAAAAATACA